AAACTTACTAAATCCGTACTTACTTAAGCATCGGAGAGCCTTCGGCCGGTACCACACCAGTGCCCTAGGACTTACCGAGCGTTCATTATCTTACAGGTATAACGACCTACCGAGGCCACAGCATACCGAAGGAAAACTAAATCACTAAGTTGCGCGGGAAAGTGCCAAACCATTTTTCTGCGTCAACAACTATAAGCTTAGCACGTGAAATTTTGAGTAGATGTCCCCTCCCCTTTGATCTTTGCCTCATCCTCATGAGATATAAAATAATCTTGAATTCCCCCTCAGCTCTCTCTCCCACTCCCACAAACCTAGAATATTTTTCACCATTAAATATTCACAAATCATCTTCTTTCCTACTCACCTCACTCAGAAATTACCCCACCGACACTTAAAAAGTATGAGCTTTGGAACTCTTGCCCTCAGAAAACTCCAACCAAATTGATGGTGATCAATGGAGCTTCTTGTCTCCTCTCTCCTCTCTCCTCTCTCCTCTCACCTTTCTTCTCTCTTCTCTCTCCTCTCTTCTCTCCTCTGCATGCACAGCACAGTTGTCGTGGTAATGCTTTGGACAAGCTCGCATTGCAGGTGGCAGTATATATTAGCCACCACGTGACCAGATGCTCTCTGTGCTTTGTGCATGCATGCATGCATCATCACTACTTTCGCTTCAGTCTTTTATCACGCAACCCATGACACGTGACATCACTACGTGTCACCCAAGACCTCTATAAAAATCTCATAGCAACAACTCATCTGTGAGAAAGATTACATATAGAGAAATTGTATCTCATCTTCATTTGCAGCTTTCAGCCATTGTTAGCCATGGAGAGGAAATCTTTCTTTGGGCTTGTACTTTTGCTCTTCATTGTCTTGGCTTCACGTATGTGATTCGTCAAGACTCTCTCTTGTTCATCTCTCAATCTTCTATGTACTCCATTGCTTGCTTTCTTTCACTAAACTTCATGATGTTGTTAGTTTATTTTTTTATATATTTAATTTGTGCACATAACATAATTGTAAACCTTAAATATGAATTGTTGGGTAAATAATTCATTTGATTGGGGGACATGCAGAAGAGATGGTGGTGCCAAGCGAGGCAAGGGTTTGTCAGTCACAGAGCCATGGGTTCCGTGGACCATGCATCCGCCACCACAACTGTGCTCTCGTATGCAGGAACGAAGGCTTCTCCGGTGGCAGATGCCGCGGGTTTCGTCGCCGTTGCTTTTGCACTCGCCTCTGTTGATCACTGGATCGTCATTGATTAACCAGGTCGCTCGGTCGTACAAGAAAATGCGTTGCATGTTATGTTATATGCAACTAGCTCTAGATAGGAAATTAATAAATGGAGTTTTCTTCCAAGCGTTAGATCGAGGGAAGTGTTATCATGTTATTCTGGTTACTTAATGGTATTTTTAATCTTATTTATTTATAAAGTTTTCTTTTTAATTAATTTTACTTAATTGTGTATCAATAGTCATGATTTTCTTCCTCATAAATTACAACAATCATACTATTGAGTTCAATTTTTCTGTGACCAAACTCCCTGTGCCACTCCACCCGGAACACCCAAAAATTACTCCACCCTGTGACCTACTTATTTTTCTGACATATATTCCTTCACTTTAACATAAAAGTTAACACTGTTAACTTCATTTGAAAATTAAAAATAATAATAATAATTCTTCATCCTCTATCTCTTTGGTTTATGCCCGGATATTCACTCTGAGCGATATAAATTATCATGCAAAAAATTTCCACAACAATAACCCATAAGTGGTATATTTGCTTGTGTATTTTTGTCCGGTCGTCAACATCAATGAACCCATCTTAAATTCACAAGCTTTTCTTTGTTGTGTTTTTTTCATTGATCAAATTAGGTTGTTGATACCATCGAGGTGACCGCCGCTGGCTTGGTTAATTTCCAACAAACGCGCATCAATTGGCGACACCCACGGGCTCCGATTTATGGAACCCAGATGAAACCACCGTCATCCAACACTTGAAAGTTGTCGAACCCGCTGTAGAAATCTTTGTCGAATATGCAATTTGCCGACCTGTCGAGCTTCTGCTCTAGTTGTCGAGGCCCAACAATAGAACCGCCATGCTCCGACGTACAAAACCCCCTCAGTCTTTTAACCACCTTACACTGGAAAACTGTTTTCTTGTCCTTCATCTTTCCTACGCTCTAATCTGAAAACTCAATTTCGTTCAAAACAAAATCTGAAAACTCAGCCAGTTCTTGAAAAACAAACCTTTAATATAATTATTTTAATTATTATTTTGATAGAAATTAGAGACTTAATAGAGTTAAGTTCTGGTTAAGTAAAGGGACATGTGTCAAAAGAATAAGGTCACAAGGTCACAAGGACACGTGTCAAAAGAATAAGAAGGTCACAAGGTCACAGGGTGGGCACAGGGAGTTTGGTTTGGTCTCAGAAAAATTGAACTCCATGTACGTCGTTTTTAGTTAGCTCATCAAGGCAATGATTTTATATTTTTGGCTTGTCCAGTATAGGTCGCTATATTTTCTATTTCCTAGACATATACTCATCACTTTATAAATTTATTTATAAAATTCAATTTCAAATTTAAATAATCAGTAGAATATAAGAGATCATAGTATTCCTATATTTTTACATCGTTGCCACCAGACTTTATATTTTATTTATAATTTATTTCAAATATTTCATTAACTGTCATAATTATAATTAATATTTCCTATTAATAGCATATCAATCACTCCATTTCTTTTGGTTGCCATTCCCTCTAACATATTGCCCCTAAAATTGCAAATTTTTTATAAAAAAAAAACTGTAAATTACATATCCAATAATGTACCTATAAAAAATATAAATATAAATATATACCTATAAAAATATAGGTATATTATTTAAATAAAATATAAGTATATTATCTACTAAAACATTTATATAAAAATAAGTACACAATAATTTATATAAAAAATAATAATAGGTAGATTATTATCCACCAAAAAATTAGGTATAATAAATTTAAAGAAAATATAGATACGCAATAATTTATCCTTTAGAAAAATGGGTATACAATATTTTATATAAAATATAGATACACAATAATTTATAATAAAAAATAATAGGTAGATTATTATCCACCAAAAAACTAGGTATAATAAATGAAATCTAACTTCTAAATTAGGTAGATTATTATTCGGGAAAGATGGAACAAAATTTCAAAAAGGCAAGGAAAACTGCATTTTTTAGCCAACACAAAACTGTCTATTTCGGCCAACACATTGTTGACGGAATTGATAAATTTTAATAATAAAATGGATAATTAATTGCAACGAAATTTTTAGAGGAAATCACCACAATAAATTGGGAAACCAAAAATTAAAACACCACCTCATTACACGTTGAAATATAAATAGGGGTATTTTGGCAATCAAAAAATAATAAATCATAAATTGAGCTTAATAAGGTAATTTGATGAGTTGGATCCTAATCATGGGTTTTTGTACTTATAAAAATTGGGTATTATTTATAGGAACAAACAGTGAAGGGTTACAGGTAAAGTAAGTTAAATTTGAAAGGTGTAAGCCAAATTTACTATATTTTTTTAATAAAAAGACGGAATTTAAAACTTGGTACATTTTCAACCTAAAATAAAGGTACATTGTACACAAACAATATGGTACATAAATCTTCACTTTTGGTACACAATATAATGAAATATCATGAATATCGGTATAAGGATCTCTCTAAAGGAAAAAATATTCATTTTTATAACTTCCATGAAGATAATCTCAGTATAAAATATCTGTCAGGAAACGGAAGACCCGATAATTTAGGCCTTTTTATTAATTGATCTTCGCCCTAGAGGCTTTTTTTTTTTTTTTTTTTTTCCAAACGAATAGAGAATATTATTAAAGATGAATAGTAAGATTTACATCACTGGCAAGAATATCAAAAATCCACTCAAGCCATAAATCATCCCAAGTATGGACTCCACCAACTCTGGACACAAAGGCCGCAATTTTATGCGCTGCCTTGTTACAATGACGAGGGGTATAAAGGAAAACACAATGCTGAAATTGGCCCACCAACTGCTTTATGTCAAATACAATGGTTTCCACTGCAATATCAATATTCCACTCCCCACACAGCATACGAATAAGTTGTAAAGAATCATATTCAACCTCTAGCTTAGACAAACCACTCTGAACGCATGCCAGCAATGCCTCTCGAATGGCTTCAGCCTCCATCGCCAACGCTGATCCACCCCTCATGTCACCCTTACCGCCAGCCAGAGGCGGATCTATTAAGGCGCAAAGAGGTGCAGCTGCACCTTCTTTCGCCGGAAAAACTATTGTAGGTGCTTGAAATTGCCCTTTTGCTCAACTGGTGTACAGATTACCTTATTTCCATTTTCAACATTTAAGTAAATGTCTTTGTTCTTTTACTTTTATTTATTTTTATATTACTCCATTTACTTAAGTTTACAATGTAAATAAGGAAGTACCCCCCATTTGGATTCAAATAAAAATACTAGAAAATCAAATTCCCACCAAATCAAAATATGAAAATTCGGTTTTAGTGCAAAATACAATTTAAGCTAAAAATGATGGCTCATTAAGTCAATATATACTTCATACTAAAATCCCATAAATTCAAGTTTTCTTATTTGATGTATAAGGAATAAAAGCCGCCAAAAATTATCTTGAGAAAATAATTATTCCGAAAAATCATTTTCATACTTAGTCAATATTGCACCTCCACTCAAAAATTTCTGGGTCCGCCAGTGCCGCCAGCCTGAGCCATCCATCCATACGAGTCGCGCACCACCCATCCTACACCTCCCAATTGTGTCTGCGACACCCAAGCAGCATCACAGTTAACTTTGAGCACCCCATACGGCGGTTTTCGCCAAGAAGTCCTCGTCTCCGCTTGAACTTCCGGTGGACGAGGAAGTTCGTTGATAGTGGCTTCCCATGCATTTGAGCCGTTCGAAATTCATGAACCTGGTTTAGGAAGCACTCCACAGCAACATGAGGCTCAATCACCGTTCCCTCAAAAACAGCTCCATTCCTGATTTTCCAAATCCTCCATAACCCAAATGCACATACCTGCAAAATATCTTTACAATGTTCAACCTGCTCGTACTTCTTGAGCAAATTTTCCCAGCAGACAATAAAATCCTCTCCCAAAATATGACATGGGTCCAATTGTATAGGAGAAGCAAACCAAAGCAATCGTGCAAACTCACACTTGAAATATAAATGTACTTGGGACTCCCCTTCTTGTCCACATAAAGCACACGTAGTTTCGACATCAATTCCCCGATGTAATAAATTTTCCTTCACCACTAAAACAATGCGACAGCATTTCCAAAGAAAAGTTCGAATCTTAGGAGGCACCTGCAATCCCCAAATACTTTTCCATATACGTCGTTGTTTATCCCCTTGACTGCTCTCTCCTTCTGCTTTCCTGCCCAACTCTCCGTTCCGCCGTAAAGTTAGTGCCACTGCATACCCCGATCTAACAGTGTAGCCACCATGAGAGGTGAAATGCCAAACCTTTTTGTCTGGACAACCCCATTTGCTAATTGGTATGGTGGAGATACATTTTGCTTCATTTGGATTAAAACAACGATTCACTAAATCCATATCCCAACATCTCATATTCTAATCTATGAGCTCATGCACCATCAACGGCATGTCAAGATGTCGGGAGTGAACCATGGAAGGAGATGGTGTGGGCAGCCAGCGATCCTGCTGACTGCAAACACTCTCCCCATTTCCGATGCGCCAACGGAGCCCAGCCTCTAAAATCCTGCGGCCTTGCAAGATACCTTTCCAACCCCACGAGACCTTCCGACCACACACAGCATGCATGAAATCAGATTGAACATAATATTTCTCCTGTAAGAGCCTGGCAAGCAAGGAGTTCGGGTTCCGAAGTATCCGCCAGCCAATTTTCGCAAGCATAGCAAGATTAAAGCAAAGGAGGTCTCGAAAACCCATCCCCCCTGCCTTCTTAAATTGACATAATTTCTGCCAACTTACCCAATGAATCCCTCTACGATCCTTCTGTCCCTTCCACCAAAAATTAGCAATGTCCCGTTCAATCTCCTTGCACAAACTGACCGGAAGTTTAAAACATGACATAGAATAATTTGGCATAGCCATAGCCACCGCCTTTATCAGTACCTCTTTGCCAGCGGAAGATAAATATTGCTCAGCCCATCCCATAAGTTTTGAAGCAATCCTTTTACGCACCATTTCAAACACCCCTCGTTTAGATGCCGCAAAATCTGCGTTTAACCCAAGATATAACCCCCAAGCTATGTGCCAGTTGACCTTTCAAACTTGCTGGGCATTTCTTTCCAAAGAAGATAGAACTCTTGTCAAAATTAATGCACTGACCTGAGCCCTTCGCATAGCAGTCCAAAATTTGCTTTAAGCAGTAAACTTCTCGTTCTTCAGTGTGACAGAATATGACAGAATCATCTGCAAAAAATAAATGCGAAATACTGAGCCCTTGGGGACGGAGCTGAAAGCCATGAAGGGGTCCCCTTTCTTCATGACGATGTAGCAAAGCAGATAAGCCTTC